TCCCATCTCTGTTGGGAGAATCGAAATGTGAAGCTACAGGAGCTGAATTTAAATTAAAATCTGTGGACGCCCGAGTGGCCCACAGCAGAGCCTGCTTCTCCAGCGACCCACAGGCACATGCCTCCGAGATGCAGGTCCAGACCCTGAACCTCAGAAGCTCGCTTCCCACGTTCTCCGTCCACAGCTTGGAAATTCTTTACTTGAAACACTGTGGTTTTGGAAAAATCAATGTCATTCTGCCTTCCGTCTTCTGGTGTGGGGGCGCCAGCTGTTAGGACAGAGCCACACCCCTCCAGCCGCCGCAGGCGCCCTGTGTCACCCCACCGCTGCCCACAGGGCGCGGCCTCCCGCTGTGCTCCATCTGCGTGTGGTCTGTACCTCCTGCAGGTTCTTGAACTCACCCTGTTCTCCGGGCCCACACTCACTGTCCCCCTTTTTGGAACATCGTCCTCTCCGCCCCCGCCTGGCCAGCTCCTAGCTGTCCTTTGAGTCTGAGCTGGGCGTCACTGTCCCAGGAAAGCCTTCCTGCCCCCATGTGCTCGGGTCCAGCGCAGCAGGAGCGTCCCCAGCCTCCACGTGCTGCCCTGATCGCAGGGACAGTCTGTCCCGCACCTTCCGGCCGCCAACCCCAGGTTCCTGACATGTCCCGTGACTGACGTCACCTGCCCGACGAGGTCGTTAGAGTCGCTTGTTATAAAGCTGGTGAGCTCGGTGGTCTTCCTGTCTGTCCACTGCGAGCACCTACCCGCAGCTGCTTCTGTCCAAGCTGAGCTCACAGCCGCCTGGGTTCCCCGGGGACACCGGCGTCCACTCCCTCGCAGCGCACACGTCCGAAACCCCTGGTCTGGGTACTTTTCATGAGACAGCACAGTGCACTTTTATTTATTTATTTTGCAATTTTTATTAATTTATTTTTGTCACAGATGTTTCTCCTTTACCCCTTTAGACACCCTCCTCCCAATCCCTCACCCCAGCATTGTTATGTCCATTGTTTGTCCATACATGCACGTGAGTTCTTCCTTCATCCCCCCTCCCACCTGAGGATGCAGTTATCCAAAGGAGATGTAAAATATGTGGCAAGCAAACATGTTGAAGTGAATTTAAAAAGTAGCACCCAGAGCCATTTCCCCGCAGTGAGCAGAGTCCCCCCGAGCCCACAGTCCCGGCCCCCGCCGTCCTGGCCCCTCAGCCCCGCAGGGTCACCTCAGAGTGCAGAAGGCGGGTGGCCCGGCCGGAGGAGCAGGGAGGACACAGCTTCCCAGCGCGAGGCCACCTGCCTCAGGGCTCACCACGGCCAGACCCGCGTGCGTGGGCTTCGGAGCCTGGAGGACGCGCCTGAAGACAAGACGAGCAGCAGATGGTGAGCCCGGCAGGTCAGGTGCGTCCAAAGGGGCGGGAGTTCAGGCACCTATGCGCTCGCTCAGAGATGGGGTGTCAGGGAAAGAGTGGAGGACCCGGGGGAGGCAGGCGGGGCAGAGAGGGAGAGGTGAGAACACAGGTCCTGAAGTGATAGGTCCCTGGGCTGCGGCAGATCCAGGACTCCCCGCCCCAGGAGCTGTCAAATCCAGCTGGTCCCTGGGCCTGGGGTAGCAAGCAGTAAGGCTGTGGAGACACCACCCTTGTCCGCCTTGACTTCAGCCCCCCTCCTGCTCCGAGCCCCATGCCCACCGTGTCCCGTCTCCCAGCGGCCTCGCCTGGCCTCCTCTGCCTCGGGTCCCGGGGACAGGCTGGATTGCCTTAAAGTGACCCGGAAGACATGGGGCACCAACGTATCTAAAGAGCTGCCTTAATGTAATGTACCCTTGCCTATTGTGATGTTCAACATAACATGTAACTCTTCCCATTATGTTATCTTCCAAAGTAGTTCAGCAAATTCACTAAAAAGGTTAGTCTTGACGAAAAGAGTCGTGTTGATTAGATCAGCAAGCGTACATGAGGGTGCCCCGTGGGCAAGTCCAGGTGATGGAGCAGGGGCGAGACGGAAAGTCTCTGCCCTCACGCGCTCTCGGTGGAGAACAGCTGAGTCACACAGGCATGGACAGTGGCCGCCGAGCCCCAGTCCGGTCGGGAGTGAGGGGCGGGCGGCTCAGGCTGGGCTGTGAGGGGGCTGCCTCTGGGAGCAGAGCTGGAGGAGATGAGAGCCTGGCACAGGATGTGTCCCTGAGCTCCGGCGGCGGGGCTGCGGGGAGGTCATGGAAACAGCACTTCCTTGACAAGGGCCTGCACAGTGACCAGAGCGTTTACTAGTAGCCAGTTATTTTCCGCATTCAACCAGGTGATACATGACATCACTCCCCCTTCTTTCTACAACTACTTACCTGACTAGTAGTGGGGGTGGGGCAGAAGGGAACAGTGGACAAACGTTACTCGGTTTCTCTCTTTCTGTGTATCCTCCCATTCCTGGTCCTCCTCTCTCCTCTCCTTTCCACCCCCTCGTACCTGCTCCCCTCCCTTTTCTCCCCTGCACCCCTTGCCGTCGCTGTCTCCTGTCTGCCCCTTTATTACAGCATCTCTCTGCCTCTCAAAGCCTCAAGAGCGAGAGCTACCCTGCGAGACAGATGAGGACGTGTCTAGATTGAGAACAGCCGTCTGGATGTGCGCTGTGTTACCAGCGAGCGTGGCCACACGTATGCAGTTGGGAGGAAGGATGTTGGGGTCGGGAGAGGAGAAGACACGCGTGGCTGTGCTGAGCCCTCACAGGAGTGCAGGGCTGCCCCCTCTGGCTCAGATCTCTGGGCCGATCCCCAGAAGAGCCCTGGCCCCATGCTCCGGCCTTCAGCTGCGACTCCACACCTCACCTCCACCTGCCTCAGACCAGCACAGGCGGGGACGACGCGCCCCAACTGTCGCTGACCCACAGCGACGGGCTCTAGCTTCACCCCCGGAACCTTGCCTACAACCCCGCAGACACTTCCCTGCCTGTCCAGGGCCCCTCCGCTCACCCCGACGCTCAGCCTTGCACTCAGCTGCCCCGCGCCCCGCCCACTCCCCGACCCTCCCAAGGACGGGCACCGCTGCTGTTTCTGCCTCTTTCAGCGCCTATGATGGGTGCTGGGTGCGCACGGGGATTGATTATTCCCGCAAAAGACTTCTTATTTGAGACTTGAAAGTGACCACGTGCTCCAGGTCCGGTCTAGAAGGTGACAGCAATGTAGACCCGTTCTTCTCTGGAAGGTGAAGGGGGGCTGCTTCTAACCTTTACGAATGGTCATTGCGAATTTCCCTCTGGCCCTTCCAGGCATTTCTCAACCAGTGTCTCCCATGAAGACGCAAATGTCCACTGTGAAGGTGAGGGGGACTGGGAGGGGGTGAGGGTGTCAGTGGGGGAAAAAGGAGGGACACCTGTAAAAAAAAATTAGTAAAACTAAAAAAAATTTAAATAGCTATTTTGTAAATAAATAAATAGATAAGTAGCATGTGAATGTCAGCGTGTCACTGCTCCGCTGAGGGCCCGGCCACGTTCTGTTTGTACCGCGGTGGCCTCGGAGCCCACACAGCCCACCAGCAGCTGCGGCTTCCACTGGCCCCTCCTCCACCCCGCAAGGCACCACGGCAGCCCCCCCCCCACTCCAGCCACACACTGTCTCTGGGTCCCCTGAGCACCCCAAACCTTTCAGACCTCGGATTCTCTTCACCAGCTGCCCCAGCCCGACCCGTCGCCTGTTACATTTCCATCCTCGGCTCAGCTCAGAGTGTCCTCAGAGGGGCCTCCTTGGGCCATTAAAGCTCAGACCCCCTTCCTACCCACCTCCACTGCTCTCCCAAACAGAAAACTGTTTTTTCTTTAAAGCACCTACTATGCATTTTTAATGGTATCATTTTGGGTCCACTTGGGGAAATAAAAACCACATCCGTTTGTTTTCACCAGGAGAACTGAGTATAGAAAACAGCCAAAAAGGTATCGGTAGAACGAAAAGACAAAGTGGGAGACGGTGGTGCCACAGGGATGGTGACTGCGGGGAGCAGCCCACGCCGGGGGCTGGGGAGGTCGGGCCCAGAAGGAGGCGCCCTGCGGGGCGGGCACCCAGAGTGTGCAGGTGCCTGTCCCTGCAAAGCTGGCTCCCAGACACCGGGGTGCGGGGGTGGGGGCGGGGCGGGGGGCTGCGTCTCCGACAGGTGTGAGGAGCTGGCTGTGGGCAGGAAGGAACAAGAACTGCAAACGACGGTGATGCTGGCTGAGTCCCATGGGAACGGCACCTGTCTGGGACGAGTAGGCACCAGGACAAGTCCCCCAGTCTCCTTCGTGCCCCCTATGGACAGCACCTGTCAAAGGAAATGTGTGCTTGGCAGAGTCTCAGCCCAAGCAGCTCAGGGTGGGTTTGAGCTGAGACACCATGGCTTAGTCATCAGGTGCCTACTGTGTGTCTGTTTATTCTCTTTTCCCTCCTGCCCATGCCTGTCTTGCTCCTGGACCCCTCTGCATGCCCAGCAGTGTAGGAAGGTACGCAGCACACATTCCTTGGATGGATAAATTTATTAGATAAAAACACTCAGCAAAATGTACACTTCGATTCTTGTCAAGTGGACAGTAAGGAGTATCTCGGTGACGTCCAGGCATTGGGGCTGAGTGAGGACCAGCACCTCCTGATGACTTAGCAGGGAAGCTAAGACATTCTCATATGACATATTCACCTATGAAAATGCCACCGCAAACATCCACACGTTTACAGGCTCGAAGAACGGGGCAGGCAGCAGTCTCCGGCGCTCAGGAGAGGAGAGCCCTGCAGAGGGAGCTGCGGCCAGAGGCAGGGCCCCCGGGGACAGCCGGCCGAGCGGCCTGAGGCCTGTTTTGAGATGATTCTGATGGAAGCACAGAAGCAGACGTCTTGGGAAAAGTAACTGGAAACTAACTGGAAAATCATGCATTCTGCCGTTAGAATGATGAGTGCAAAGTTTTTTGAAAATAAGTTGTTTTTTTTTTCCTTCTCACCCAAGGATATTTTTCCATTTCTCTTCAGACAGAGGGGAAAGGAAGGAGGGAGGGGAAAGAGAGAGAAACACTGATGTGAGAGAACAGTTAACCGCTGAGCCAAACCGGCCACGGCTGAAAGTAAGCCCTTGGGCAAAGCAGTGATGAGGCCGATGACAGTGTTTTCTGAAGAGACATCTGGCAACATCGTGGGGAACTGTGGAGTGTGTAGAAACCAGGGCCGGAAAGACCATGCGGGGACAGGACAATCAACCTCAGCAGACAAAGACGCGGAGAGAGGAATAGAAGACAGAGTAACAGGTACCATGAGGGGGGAGACTCCATACATCACCCCACAGAATCAGCCCAGGCCGGGCGGTGGGGAGGGCGTGTGACGTGACACACACAGCGAAGATTCAGCAGAGACACCCCTGAGTTTCCTCGGAAGGACCCGACTGATAATGAGGTCAGCACAGGGCGTCCCAGTGAAAACCCTCCTGTAAGGAACCAGGAGGTGAAGCTAGTACAAGTCGGGAAGAATGTATATATCTTCCTCTTCAGGAGGACGCGGCTTCCGGAAGTTGCAGTACTCAGAGGAGGGCTCGTTCCCGTAGATGTGGTCCTCGAAGCCGGGCTGCCGCGTGTTCTCGTACAGCCCCCTGTCGGCGTCCTTGGCTCGGGGAGGACCTGCCTCCAGGTTCTCGTAGCTGTTGGGCGGGTCTGTCTCCCTGGCAGCAGCTTCGTGGTCATGGGTTTGAACTAAGACCTTCGGCCTTGAGGGGGTGACGTGGGGACCCACGGAGGCTGACTTAGCGTAGTCCCTCTTGTTGTTGCTTCTCCTCTTCAGAAACCTTGGGAAGGCGAATTGTGGGGCGTTCCGGGGCCTCCAGTGCCAGACACAGCCAATTCCGCAGATCAGCAGCAGCAGCAGCAGCAGGGAGACCCCGACAGACACGGCCACGGAGCCACTGCCACAGCTGTTCCACATGTCGGCACAGACGGTGCTGTTGGGTGGGGCGGAGCCGTTCCAGAACTCACAGGTGCAGACCAGCCTGCTCACGTGTCGGGTGTTGTTCAGGATCTGGGAAGCTCTTTCAGGCATTTCTCTTTCAAATCGGAAAGAACATTGTTTGGCAGAGTCCTGAGGCAGTCAGAGGAGAGGCTGGTCAAACGCAGTGGGGCGGGTGGCTTTCATTGAAGCTGATGTTTTCACTCCATTGCCATTAATATACACTTGTGCCATGTCGGGGGCATCTCATCCACTCTACCTCTTCCGTTGAATCGTAAAATGAAGCAGAAACGAATGGAGGATGATAGCAGAACAGAAAATTCAAGAAAAGGAAGGTTGAGTGATCTGCCATCCAGAAACCTGCTATAAATTAAAAACACATTAACTGCATGCTTATCAGACTCGCACAGTAAACATCTGCTGTCCCAGCAGCAGGCCACGTGCCTCTGCACCCAGCACACCACCAGCTGTCGTGAGGACAGAGAGGGGTTGAAGAGAACCTGTCCCTGCCCAAGTCTGAGTGGTTTTATCACTTAGATTTCACCGTGGTTTGGCTATAAGGCTGATTGTTTTCACGTGAAGGACAGAGTGCCGGCGAACCACCACCTCTGTCACCGCCCTGCTCTGCGGGCCCCGGGGCACCGGCCGCATTGTCCCTTAGCCACTCCCTCTGCTGCTCGCCCACCCTCAGGAGGCCTGCTCTGTCCCAGCACCATCGCCCAAATCACTGGGAACTGTGTCTCTCCCACCTGGTTAAACGGTGGGCGGGGACCAGGTCTGTTCATCTTTATATCCCTAGAGAACAGCAAAACACCTAGCTCAGAAAAGGTGATTGATATTTATGGAATGAATGATTAAATAAACAAATGACTCCAAATCTTAGCATTGGATGGCTTAAGCTTTCAGTTTAAAAATCAAGATATGGCCCTGGCTCAGTTGGTTGGGCCCTGGCTCAGTTGGTTGGGCACTGTCCCCTAGACTGAAAGGTTGCTGGTCCGATTCCCCATCAGGGCACAGGCCTGGATTGCGGGCTGATCGCGCGTGCAGGAGGCAGCCGATCCGTGTTTCTCCCTCACATCGATGTTTCTAGCTCTCTCTCCCTCTCACTTCCTCTCTCTGTAAAAATCAATAAAAAAGCTTAAAAAAAACACAACTCTCATGATATGTCTTCGTAAGCATTAAGACTTAAGGGTAGCCCTGGCCGGTTTGGCTCAGCGGTTAGAGCATCGGCCTGCGGTCCGAAGAGACCCGGGTTCGGTTCCCGCTAAGGGCACGTACCTCGGTTGTAGTTTGTCCCCGGCCCTGGTTGGTTGTGCGGGTAGCGACCACTCGATGTGTCCCTTTCACGTCGATGTTTCTCTCTCTCTCTCTTCCTCTCTCTCCCTCCCGCTCTATCTGAACAAAAAATGGAAAAAAATGTCCTCGGGTGAGGATGATAAAAAAAAAAAAAAAAAAAAAAAAAGACTTAAGGGTATACTCAAAAGAAGAGAAGAACCCTGTGACATAAAAGAAAACATCTTTGAAAGACTTTATTCTCAAAACTTCTAGCCAACAACTGCCATTCAGTTAAGAGAATTTTAGTGTTTTCTTCAGTGTTTTAAAATGACAAACAGAAGTGTTCACTAGACTGATGTTCAATTTCTATTTTATCAACAAAATATTACTGTGTTTTCCGCCTTCATACAGAAATAGCTACATCCAGTAGTTATTTTGTTAGTTTTATTGATACGATTGACATATAACATTGTATAAGTTTAAGATGTGCAGCATGACCTGACATATGTATATATTGTAAAATGATTGCTACATCAGGTTTCACCGGTCATCACCTCACATAGTTACCATTTTCTTTCTTGTGATGAGAAATTTTAAGATCTATTCTCTTAACAACTTTCAAATATACAATATTGTTAACAATATAGTCATCTAATATTGTTAATCATGCTTGTAAAATGATTATCATCATCTATTGAAGTCATTGTCAATAATATTTAGTTAAGAGTTTATTTTGGGTCACCTTCTAAACACCTTTCCATGGATCATTATCTCATATAACCCTACAGCCACTGCATGAACCAGACACTATTCTAATCCCCAATTTACAGACGAGAGAAAAGACTAAATAGGTTAAGTAACTTCTTCCACAACTAGGAAGATACTGAATCAAGGTTCAAGTAAAACGTTCCTCTAAATACTCTTCTTACCCAAATTTCTGTAAAGGGTTGTCAAGCATATCTGTCCCTTAATTTGAATGGCTTGATTAGCTCTGGGACTCTTGAGGGCTGGGGAATCTTATCTAATTTATATTTATATTACCAGTACTAGATGCCACAGAGTTGGGCCCCGCTTTGCGTGAGTGGGGTAGCTAATTTGTCCAAATTTGTTTATGGTTAGAACATATCAACATGCAAAACTTCAAGGTGGCATTTCAAGTGAAATACAAAATTGAATATGAGATGCAGTCAGTTTATGAAATTTACCTGATACAACCATAGGGACAGATAACCAGATCTATACATGTTTTAATCTCCAACACTTCTGTTGGGTTCCCTCCTCGCTGACCCAGACGCAATGCTTGTGTTCCAGGACAGAGGTTTGGAAATAACTCTGACACTATGATGTACCCCCTGTCTGAAAGAGATGAGAACTGATCATATTTGTTACATTTCACAGTGTAAATACTTATTTGCTAGCATATTTGAACTGAATTTCAAACACTGATTGAAATGTATCAGCCTTTTTTTTTTAATCCTCTTCCGAGGACATTTTTCCATTTTTTGTTCAGATAGAGTGGAAGGGAGAGAGAGGAAGAGAGAGAGAAACATCGACGTGAAAGGGACACATCGAGTGGCTGCCACCCGCACGACCCAACCAGGGCCGGGGACAAACTGCAACCGAGGTACGTGCCCTTAGCGGGAACCGAACCCGGGTCTCTCTAGACTGCAGGCCGACGCTCTAACCACTGAGCAAACCAGCTGGGGCAGATCATTCTTTTAAAAGGTGCCAGGCCTTTGATGGGAAGGCCGGCTCTGTTCCTGAGGTGTGGAAATAAGTCCCTTTCTCCGTGTCTGAGAGAAGAGTTTATTTACCACTGATACTGCTCTATGTGGAGGAGACAGTCCAGTTCACCCCAAGTATTTAAACTGCTTGTCAGAGAGTGTTCACTCAGATAAAGGGAAGAAGACTTTTTGCAGTAACGTAAATGCACCCTTTCCTTTCTTCAAAATAACTTAGGAAAAACCCTGCAAAACCTGAGCAAAGACCTCGCGGAAGGAAAAGCATGTTGAACAAAAGCCTTTGCAACAGAGTTTAACACCTGACTGAGTTCCCTTCTTCCATGTGGGAGAAGACCTTTTGGTTCTGTTTTGGAAAATCATTCCAACAGGTCACCCAGTAGTTATTCACTTGTCTTAAAATCACAAATTGTTTCAACGTCAGAGCCTGAGCTTCTGTTTGGAAGCAGGGCGACAGCGGAGCAGACCTGCGCCCCGATCCCACACCGGCAGACAGCCACCCTCGGTCTGCACACTGTCTTCCCCCATCACCACCCCAGGCCGCCAAAAATACCGTGCAGGACAAGACAAAAAGTCACTGATTATTGAAAGTGATCTTGTTTCTTAGATTTTTGCTGGCACCTGAGCAGGTCCCCACTTACCTCCAGTGGTGTGCCCCGCGCTGTGTCCTCCGGGGACGCTCTCATCTGCTTTGGTGGGTGCGGGTTCCTCTTTCCACTCTGGTCAGCTGCTTCCTCCTCACCTCCAGCTTCAGAGGACTTCAAACTTGCAGAGTTTCCTGGCTCTGGAGGAAGTCCTTACCAGATGCATGAGTGTTTGGACACGGAAGCCCAGCCCTCAGTCTTCATCAGCAAACAGTTCTCCTACCTCACCAGAAAACGACGCCTAGAGCCCCCACCTCACCAGAAAACGACGCCTAGAGCCCCCACCTCACCAGAAAACGACGCCTAGAGCCCCCACCTCACCAGAAAACGACGCCTAGAGCCCCCACCTCACCAGAAAACGATGCCTAGAGCCCCCACCTCACCAGAAAACGACGCCTAGAGCCCCCACCTCACCAGAAAATGAAGCATAGACTCCACGGTCTCCTACTGGAGCAGTATTTGCAGCCCTCATTCTGCAAAGTATTTCACATGCACTGCAATTAACAACAACAACAAAAGATGTTTAAATGCAGTAACGCAGAGGTCTTGGTTATTTTTGTGTCTGCTCGCCTGTTTGCGAGAACAGTTCTCATCGTGAACACTGTGCCCCAAGGCCCTGGTGTACCTGTGCTGGTCGCCGAGGCCCTGACACTGTCAGGCTGCTTCAGAAAATGTCAGTATTCTCTCACACTGTTGAGAAGAAGCTCCCAGAGTACATTCGGAGGCGCAGGACCTCGGGCCGCTCTGGGGCCTTCCCTCGGGAGCCGGGAGTGGCCGAGCGGCCGCAGGCTCAGCGTCGGCTGTGGAGGCCCTGGCGGCACACTGAGGGAGCCACGCCCGAAGGACAGCGCTCGGCCGGCTTAGTGATAGGAGGCAGCATTCTGAGCGCTGTCCGCTGACCCTCCCGTCCGGCCCGGGACCCGCCGGGACCTGCCCAGCTTTCAGGGACGGACACCGCGGTGACTGCGGCCTGGCGCCGGTGCCGGCCCCTGTGGCTCTCGAGGGCGGAGGACACGTCCCCACACGCACCTCGCTGAGCAGCACCCCGAGACCAGCTCTGTGGGGCACCAGGGTGGGCAGTGCTGGCTTCGGTGGAGGAGACGACATGCGGGACTTCTGCCTCTCGGACGCCGGTGCTTCTACCGCGGACGACAAGGTGGATGCGAGACCGAGTTACTGAAGTGCCCTTGGGCATCAGGAGGACAGTGCCGCTGGTCAGCAGACACTGGGCCAGGCATGTGCTCAGCGGCACCGGAAGCCTGGGGAGAGGCGGCGGAATCCACAGACCATTTCTTTTTTTTTTTTTTTTTTTATCCTCACCCGAGGACATTTTTCCATTTTTTGTTCAGGTAGAGTGGGAGGGAGAGAGAGGAACAGAGAGAGAGAGAGAGAAACATCGACGTGAAGGGACACATCGAGTGGCTGCCACCCGCACAACCGACCAGGGCCGGGGACAAACTGCAACCGAGGTACGTGCCTTTAGCGGGAACCGAACCCGGGTCTCTCAGGACCACAGGCCGACACTGTAACTGCTAAGCCAAACCGGCCAGGACTCCACAGACCATTTCAGACCCAGGGCCCGAGGGCTGAGAGACACAATGCACAGGCTGTGGGAGCAAAGGGCACCCACTCGGGGTGTTCTCAGAATAACACCGCTGGTCCCCGCGCAACTCCCGGCAGAGATCCCAGAGTACC